CTCTTAGATCGAGCGGACTTTCCTTCGACGGCCTCCATTACTTCTTCTTGCTGCCTCCTGGAAATGGCTAATTCGAAGAATGTTGTGGGTCTTATAGAACGAGCTGATCAACTGACTTTGTCAGTAGGATATCACTCTGGAAAAGAGTTTTGCCGACGTTCTTTTCAGAATTGATTTCGAATATCGTGTCTTTCAAGTCTTCAACGGTATCATCTCGTCTCTCCTCAATTTCCTAAAATAATTGCGCTATCACTGGATAATGACTCCACTGATTTCATTTGTGCACTTACCTTGAGCTTGCGATCAATTTCTGCTTTCTTTTCATTCGATAGTTGAAGCTTTTTCATCATCTTACTTCTCAACTCAGTCAATTTGCTGCCAAGTGAAAGAACGCCAGTCTTTTCGAAAAGCTTAAAAGTGCCGCGGCGCTTAGTAATTACAACTTCCAAGGTATCCGTCAGCGTATACCTTTTTGAACTTCGAGAGTGTTGCGGCTTTAATTTTTTCGCCGAGATTTCCTCCTTTGAAGAATTCTTTGACTTTGCCAAGATCCAGCAAACCTGCGTGGGTCGCCACAGCTAAGAAGAGCAGAAGCAGAATGAGCCTCATTCCTGAACTTCCAGATGAAATTTCATCTTCTGAAAAGGTCTGAAAAGCATTGAAGAGTGTGATTTCCTAGGAGGGGACCAGCTGTGAAGAGCGTAGGCCGATGAGGAAGGAGCTACCCTTCACTTTTATACACCAACACGCTATGCTTGGCCGAGTTTGAACAACTGCTCTGAACCAATCCTATGTACAGAAACAAGACTTTACTGTGCGGTGTGACTGCTTGACACTGATTTGTACATCTGTTTTCTGTGACCTCATCAGGGAGGATCCTCTTCGCGGAAAAAGCACCTTTCCTGCAAGGTTGGGCATTGCAATGAATAATGGGAGTGGAAGGTCTACCAGAACACACAGTAACCACACATTTAACTATGTGACAACAGAAAGAATTTGCGCAAAAATTCAAGAACAAATAGCAGGACGCGGATTGATATGTCCATGTGAAGTACGGCATGACTGCACATCCTGTGATTTCATCGAAGTCGATCTGCACTGCGGAAAGGAACCGGGTTATATCACGATTGTCAGAATGTTTTGCACTGTAATGCCTATTTCATGGGTGTGAAGGAACAAGAAAACATCGACGTTAAGCAGCACCGAACAGCAGGTATTGCTTCGATTCTTGCTCCTTTTCGCGTGAAAGTTTGATTCAAGGACTTAGAGAATCTAGATCACACAGGTCGAGCATCGAAAATTTTGCACGAATATCTTTCTGTTGTCACATAGTTAAATGTGTGGTTACTGTGTGTTCTGGTAGACCTTCCACTCCCATTATTCATTGCAATGCCCAACCTTGCAGGAAAGGTGCTTTTTCCGCGAAGAGGATCCTCCCTGATGAGGTCACAGAAAACAGATGTACAAATCAGTGTCAAGCAGTCACACCGCACAGTAAAGTCTTGTTTCTGTACATAGGATTGGTTCAGAGCAGTTGTTCAAACTCGGCAAGCATAGCGTGTTGGTGTATAAAAGTGAAGGGTAGCTCCTTCCTCATCGGCCTACGCTCTTCACAGCTGGTCCCCTCCTAGGAAATCACACTCTTCAATGTTTTTCAGACCTTTTCAGAAGATGAAATTTCATCTGGAAGTTCAGGAATGAGGCTCATTCTGCTTCTGCTCTTCTTAGCTGTGGCGACCCACGCAGGTTTGCTGGATCTTGGCAAAGTCAAAGAATTCTTCAAAGGAGGAAATCTCGGCGAAAAAATTAAAGCCGCAACACTCTCGAAGTTCAAAAAGGTATACGCTGACGGATACCTTGGAAGTTGTAATTACTAAGCGCCGCGGCACTTTTAAGCTCTTCGAAAAGACTGGCGTTCTTTCACTTGGCAGCAAATTGACTGAGTTGAGAAGTAAGATGATGAAAAAGCTTCAACTATCGAATGAAAAGAAAGCAGAAATTGATCGCAAGCTCAAGGTAAGTGCACAAATGAAATCAG